CCAACTCAGCTGCCACGTCGCCCTCGGATTCAGCAGACACGTCGTCACTGTTTCGGTCATAACTTTCTCATACGACATCGAAACGGGCCGTTCTTGGATGCGTTGGAAAGGGGACGACGACGCCGTCGTTTTGGATCTGGTCCCAGCTCCAGAAGGTCCGTGGATCATTCTGTGTGACCACGGCAAGGTGCTGCGTCACCTATTTGGGCCAACTTGGCCATGTATCGTGTCGGGCCTTAAGCCCAAGTTGTGGGCGCCCAACCCCTGGCCGTCCCCAACCCTAGGTCGAGTCTTAGACTATAAACACAGCCGCCGCCGCTGCTACACAATTGGGTTTTGTTTAGAGTTTAGTTTTCCATCGAGAAACTGAATCGTTCATTGTAACTGTGGTGACAAATCCTTTTACAGTGATCCAGGGCCCCCGTTCTTGATCTCCTCCACTGTGTCGATTAGTCCTTTGGAACCGAGTTCTTGAACCCTCTATTGATATTCGCGTCATTCATATTTGCAATATCAGATTGCGTGTTTTACCTTCTTGCTTGTGCTCTTCGATTCGCTTGTAGGAAAAGCCTTCTTGGTGAGGTCAATCAAGTTGTGCTTGGTTGATAACCAACGGAGCAGTGGTGTAACGGTTGCAGGGTTCGAATCGCGTCTGATTTGAAGCCGGATCGCCAACGTCGAGATCTCCACAAATCGAACTTACCGGCTACCTCTCGGAAGATCGGGCCTGTACCCATCAGTGGAAAAGCTTGTCCCTATATCAAACCGAGTTAAATATCTTTGGCAAGTGTTCTAGATTGAACCAAATTTAGAAAAGTGATCCTCACCCCATTGATTGACATTGATAATCTTAACCTATCTAAAATTGAATCTTTGTGGTCATTGATGACAAAGGGGGAGAAGTAATGCACAAAGATAGTGAAAAAGATGACAAAGGGGGAGAACTTTGACATAGGGGGAAAATATGAAAGTAAGGGGATCATGACATAGGGGGAGAAATATGAAAGTAAGGGGATCAATTAAAATTTGAGCACACAAGTAGGGGGAGCAAGCTCATAAACTTGTTTGATGCATTTGAATGTGCATTTCATCATCTGTTTGCTTGCATAGCACAAGTTTTAAATTTGATATACATGCTTGTGTGGTGTATGCTAGTTGTAGATTTGAATGAAGAAATTAAAAAGTAGCATGTATAGGATGATAGTTAGATGTGACTTGCATTTATTTTCACAAGTGGTACTAGAGCCTTGTTTCTAATGTAGATCTCATGAGGTATCTAGTGTTTGTGCTTTTGCAAGTGGTATCTAACTAGCATTGGTGCTAAGGATGGTATATTGGTGCACTCCGATTGGTATCACACTTCAAAGGTCCATCTCTTACACCTTAGCATCATTTGGTATACATTACTCTCCCACAACTCTAATCCATGCATATGTGCAAGCTTCAATCCAAACTCTTAGCACATATGTAGGGGGAGCTAATGCTACCAATTTGGGTTCATGAAACTTGTCCATATCCTTTACACATGGTAAATATGCTTGGGCAAGCAACATGGATTCAAATGAATTTCAATTTATATCTTTGTGAAAGTGTTGTCATCAATTACCAAAAAGGGGGAGATTGAAAGCTCTAGTTTGGTTTTGGTGAATTGATGAAACCCTAAGTGTTAACCCATTGCTCTAAATGATCATGAGATAGGGTAGCACATCCCAAGTGGTGGAGCAAATGATGATGATCATGAAGGTAGTGATGGCCATGGTGATCAAGTGCTCAGACTTGGAAAAGAGGAAAGAGAAAAACAAAAAGCTCAAGACAAAGGTATAATTGATAGGAACTTTTGGTTTTGGTGATCGAGACAGTTAGCGATTTGATCACATTTAGGATAGATAGCCGTACTATTAAGAGGGGTGAAACTCGTACCGAAATGCGGTTATCAAAGTGCCACTAGATGTTCTAACTCATTGCATGACTAGACGCTGGGGCGCGTGCGTCTGGTTAACCTGACCGGTGTGTCTGGTCAGAACGCAGAGCTGCCCCTCATGTGCCCAATGGCTCTATTTCATGGGGGCTCGTATTTAAGCCCCATGGCTAGCTCTTGCTCACTCTCTTGGCCATTTTCATTGACATAGCAACCTAGTGAGCTAAGCCAAAGCCCTCCCACTCATCTCCATCATTGATTCATCATCTTTGTGAGCTTGGGAGTGAATCCAAGTGCATTGCTTGAGTGATTGCATCTAGAGGCACTTGGTGATTGTGTTTCGCTGAGGGATTCACTTGTTTTTCTTGGTGGTTGACGCCACCTAGACAGCTTTGCATAGCGAGGATCATCGAGCAGAGGGTGGTGATTGTCTCTCGCTCTGATCATGGTGATTGTGAGGGGTTCTTGACCTTTCCTCGGCGGAGAGCCAAAAGGAACTCTAGTGGATTGCTCGTGGCTTGTGGATCCTCATCTTGTGTTGGTTGTGCGTCACCCGATTGTAGGTTAGGTGTGTGATGCCTATAAGCGCGTTAACCTCCAAGTGAGTGAATCGCCACAACGGGGACTAGCTTGCCGGCAAGCAAGTGAACCTCGGTGAAAAATCATTGTCCCATCTTGTCTCTGAGGATTTCATTGGTATTCATTGTGATTGATTGATCATCTCTTGCCACGATGGTATAACTCACTACCTCTCTTGTGTATTTACATTCCTAGTGTACCTAAGCTCTTTAGTGCAATTAGTTTTGAAAGCTAGCTTGTGTCTTGTCTAGTTTGGTTAGTGAGGCTCTTTAGTTAGTCTTTGAGAGCTGACTAACTTAGTGGTAGTGACCTAGCCTTGTGTGTGACATAGAGACTATATGGACTAGAATTGTTGGTAGGTGTCTTGCATTTTTAGTAGGCTAGCACAACACTCACTTCACCGTTTAATTGTCTAACATCTTGGCTTAAGTGTTGTTGTGGAAATTTTTGGTAGGCCATTCACCCCTCTGTAACCATTAGGACCTTTCAGTCCATCGACGTCGTCCATCATCTGCGTACCAATAATAGCATGTCAATCTGTGGAACGTGGTGATCCAACGAAAATGATCGAACCACCTCACGCAGCATGGACCCATGTAGAATGAGATCGTTCCTCTAGCCAAAACACATTGTATTCTTTTATTTTCAGCTACTGTCACTATGTAAAAAAGCCACATATCCACCACCTCACCACAGACGCGACCAGTAAAGCGCGTTTACTATAGTACAACTATAGACGTGCCTTCCTGACGCGCGTCTGTAGTAAGTCACCGGTGGGGGTCACCGGTCCAGCGAGGTCAACACGTCTGAGCTAAATCTACAGACATCGCATCTGTATCTGTAGCAGTTATTATAAACGCGTGTTGTGATTTTCAAGTCTCGGATAACATGATCAAACCCTACGGATGCACGTACATGACATGCGTCTGTAGTAAGATCTCTTATTATAGATGCATATGTTATTGCAAATGTATGTTTCCATCACGCATCTTGAGTAATCCTACGTATAGCAGACGCATCCTGCTCTATACGCATATGTACTTTGTGGCAAACGTGTGTTCCATACACATGTCTGTAGTACTTGGCCTGCGTACTTAGCCGTTGGCACGTGCTAATGGGCAGAGGGAGGTACTTGGCACGTACGGAACATAGCGGGTAGTAGTGGCTCTTGCGCGGCTTTGAGGAGCATGGGCGGAGCTGGCGGGCGGTGGGCAGCGGCCGGAGTTGCAAAGCGCTACCGTAGGCGGGCGATGGGAGGATGCGTAGCGCACAGGCGGGCGGCGGAAGGAGGCGCGCGCGGCAGCCGGAGGGCGGTACGCCGAAGGGGCTCGCTGCTATAGTGGATGGTGATGGGCAGCCTTAGGACTGCGTCGCATAGGCGGCCAGGTGTAGGTGAGCAAGTCTTAAGCTCAAGCCACCGGTGCTCCTCTCTTTCCCTCTTCTCTGTCGGAGCACCGCCGCGTGGCTCAATTGCGAAATTTGCCGCCATTGTTCTATCTTCTCCTAATTTCTCGCGCTCCCAGCTCCGCCTAGTTCTTCCGGTCCTCCTTGAACTGCTGTAGCCACCTCTCTCCGCCACCATGCCTACCATGGGCAACTCGCCATGGCCAACTCGTTCCGACGCTCCTCTGGTGATATTGTTTATTGTTTTTGCTCTCCTGCAATTCCGTGATGCTCATCGGCTCCATTCTTTTACCTCTACCACATAGGTCACGGCGGAACGATGACCTCACCACCAGTTTGTGTCACTGCACGCGCCATCACCGTTGGTCATCTAGCTCCGCATCATCCCCGGTTCAACCAAGCAGCACATCGACATCGAGTGAGCTGCTGATGCTGCCTGAGCCCTTAGACTAACCTATACCGTGTAGTATCTGCTGGAGCACCGCCGCATCACCGTTCTATGTCCGCTGCACCGCCATGGCTATGGTCGAGCTCGAGTCTGATTGTAACTCATTCCTCTCTGCAGTGTACTCGATCAGGTGTGCTTCGACCGTGCTTCGTCATCTCGAGCTACAGGGGATCGCCGATGTGCTTAGCACTCCTCCCTAGTCCTCCCTGCTCTCGTCTTTGGCCTCCTATTCTCTGGTGTGTGCTTCTCTGTGAACAATGGTGAGCTTGTGTGAAACTGTGATAAAGTTGATTGTGTGAAACTTGCAATGTGAACTAAGTCTACTGAAAAATGTGATTTTTATTACTAAAGCATTGATGAATTTGCTTATATTCTTCCATTTTCACTCTAGCCATTGGCAAACCAGCAACAATATATATGTAATAATATATTGATAGATGCATTTCTAACCAAAGTATGTGACATAGTTTGCATCACAGAGTTTTACTACTTCATCACAATAATTACATCATCACCAAAAGTACGTCATCACAGAGTTTACATTCACATAGTTTCATTAGCAAAAGTTAACATAGCATCACATCATCATTAGTTGTTCACCGGCGGCGGAGGCATGGCGCCCTACAACTTGCTCTGGAGGTCATGCACATTCTAAACCATGGATGCCAGGTGGTCACCAAGGTTGTCCAGGTTCTTCTTGAGATGCTTCTCCTTCTCTTCGTTCTCATCCTTCTCTTTCTTGAGTTCATCAACACTCCTCTGAAGATCACCTAGGATCTTCATGATGGGTTTTAGAACCACTACCTGCAGGGCCTCGTGCATGGTACTTAGAGGAAGCTGATAAGATCGAACCTATATGCACAGAAACAGTTATAGGAACATATATGAAAATCAGCATAAATCTAGATACTATGACAAAAAACCTACATATAAGTTTCATTTGCATTCATATAAGTTTCATTATCCAGCATACAAATAAGAATCATATAAGTTTCATATAATCAATTATAGGCTACAAAGTCTATGACCTTGTGAACACCAGAATCATAGCAAATTAGAAAAATAAAACATCTAGTTGCTGCTAACAATGCACATAAAGACTTAGAGTTGCCCCAAAGAGATGAGACCCAATATACTCAAATCACAATGCTGAAATATTGAAGTGGCACCATCAAAATTATTCACAAGATTAAAATCATTGATCTATGATAAACATCTAGATAAAGCAATCTACTCAAATCACAATGCTGTTGCAAAATATAATATTTGACAATTTACATTGCTTGTATAAAAACTTGAGTGGCATCTGCATTTATTCTACACTAAGTTGTTTTCTCTGTTCCATCTGGGTCTGGGATGAGAGAATGGCATGAGCCAAATTATTTTAGCAACAAACTCATCCAATTCAGAGGCTACCAACAAAACGGTCATGAAATTAAGAAAGAAAACCTACATATAAACAGTTATAATCTAAAGAGTGTGCATTACCTGGCCATGGGTGGAGCTTGAACCGCTGACTTTGCGATAGTTGATGCCACCGTGGAGCCATAAATGGCATGTCCTGGCTCCTCCCTTGAAGCAGTGGTCGCACATCTTGGTGGTCGTTGCCCTCGGCGCCACGGCCGAGGAAGAAGGCGCTGCCGCCACCGCTTGAGTGGCCTTCCTTTCTATTGGTGTTTCTTAGCGTAAGCAGAGGAATCCGCAAGCACATGGATACACCATTGTAGCACTTCACCCGGAGGTATTCAGGGTATCATATTTTCCCAAAGGAACGGATGTGCATGTCTCTTAGCTAGTTCACCTAAAGAAAACAAGAGAGAGGTAGCTTGGGTAGTGAGTTTTTTTTTCTAAGGATAGATATCCTAAGGGAAGATAACTTTGACACTATAGACTTGCTTTGGGCACCGAAGAGCACCTGGTCTGCTAGGCGATATCGGCTTATAGCCTACGTCAAACCTAGACGTGGGGGAATATGAGTGATGGATATGGCTGTCACTACCTGTCGCCTACCCCTCAACCATGGGGAACAAGGTAAACAAAGATAGCTTCTAGCCTAGACACCACGTCTATGCTATCGACTATTACTCTAGCGTGCATGCAAGGGTTATCCGTCTCCATTAGGGCCCTTCTACTAGAGCAACCGCCACAAGGACGGACGATGAACCCACAAGTTTATAATGGACAAAGGTAGCGTTCTTAGTATATCAATGCCAAAGTTAAATATGAACTTCTTACTCCAAGTAGTAAGACACTCGTAGAGGTACAAGCGAAGGAGTGCTAGCTCCGACACGCTTCTGCTCAGTGTAACGAGTACACTAGGGGAGGTTGCCGATAGCTCCAACACTTCTCCAACTCTTCCCTCACTCACTCCACTCTTATTCTAGCTTAAGCTAAGTAAAAATGAAACTCTCCCTCTCTTCTTTGATCTCTTTATTGTGTGTTTAGAGGGGAGCCCTACCCCTCTATTTATACAGGGAGGATGGCGGTGCTTCAAGCTATGTTTGGCACAAAACACTAGGCTGCACCGCCTTAGCATGGCGGCATGCCACCGCCACAGCAAGGAGAGGCAGGGCGGCGTCTAGAGGGGAGCAGCCGCCCCCTAGGAGCGGCTGGCCCTTGACCACCACCTCTGGCCACCGCCTTGGCATGGCAGGGCTTGTGCTGGTCATGGGTTGCTACCCTATGGGGGTTTGCCCATTTTGAGTTGGTATGGTGGGTGTCTCCCTTGTTTTTTTTGCATGAATTAGCGTCGGAAAGCGCCTTTTTGGTGAATTATTCCATGCATTCATGTTTATGACTTGCAAAATAATGTTCTCCAAATACATATGGAACTTGGTTAATCATAAATGCATATGTAATTAAGTTTGCTAATTTCTCCTCTTTTTGTCACTTAATTGACGGTCAGATTTGATCTGTAAAGACTACCAACAAGCTCCCCCACACTTAGTTCTTTGCTCGTCCTTGAGTAAAGTTTTAAGGACTAAGCAGGTTCATCTCCTTGATTTGAAATCTGTATATAGGTTATTCCAAGCTTCACCATAACTTGTGAACTTCCAAGTGTCTACCAAAATATCTTGGGTAATTGAAAAACGGAATAGCTTGGATTCAAATCTCCTTACGTTATTCATGCTTAGAAACTTGGGTTTTTGCATAATTTTGAAAACATAAAGATAGCTTTTGTTCCTTGAATGCTTCGCTCAGGTCACTCAAATTTGTAAGTGGTTCCATGGCATATTTGAAAGTTCTTGCCTTCCTTTTGATCATCCTACTTCTATAAGGCTTATATGGAGCTTTAGGTGGGGATGAATATTGTGGGGCACACTTACCTTGCATATGTTGTAAAGTCGAATCCTAGAGCTCACCGGAGAGAAGCGTCATATTCTTTGATCAAAACAGTGCAAGTGTGTGGAATTTTTGGTGGAATCATACTCCTCTATTTGATATGATCTTCTTTTCTAGCCTTTTTTATTTGGAGACATGGTTATCATATATATATTTTTTCTATGAGCCTTCATGTGCTCATCATATATATATATATATATATATATTTCAATGGATAGCCTTCATATCTCTTTCTGAAAATATGCTCGGGGGATCATATTTTTAGAGCATGGAGTATTTATTTGTGGGTAATGGAAACATGATTTAGCGTATTCCCAGTGTAGGAACAACTGTTTTTTGTGGCGTGTACGTGAATTTTGATCTTGAGAGCATGAAACATCTCTCAACAGGGGTCACAAAATTTGACTGAACTCAACACAAAGTAAGAGGCATATGTGGGAGGTTTTTGTCATGTATTAACACATGTGGCCTTGGTAGGTATTTGTATGTCATTCAAGGAACATGCTATTTGAAATTTTGTTTTGTAAAATAAATCCCAAGAACTTTGCAGGAATAGGTAAGTGTCATATCATCCTACTATATCTCATTCGTCAATTACTTAGATAAAGTGGGTTCCCTATGATGAGTGTTCACAAGTTTTTGGAATATTAGCAGGGAATAAAAGGTATACAAACTTTTAATCATAGGAAGATTATGGAGATGGAGCATCACTTTTTATTTTAATTTGTTTGAATTTAGTTTTAGAATTCTTATTAATGAGGTGAGAGAGAGAGAGAGAGAGAGTTGCACAAACCGTGATTTTTGTGTGTGCTATTTATCTGTGCAAAGTTGGAGGTGATTGTGGTGCTTCCCCCACACTTGTACTTGTCTTCATTTCACAAAGGATCCAAGAGACAAGTGTAGACAGATAATTCTAAAGGGAAACTTTATTTCACCATTAAACTAGTAGGCACATTACATGATTGGAAACAAAACAAAATAATTTGGAATGAAAGAATGAATAATTGAAATATGCGCCTAAGAAAACAGAGTATGCGCTTAAAATAGAACATGCGCCTATTCAAGGACGTGTTCTGCATGTGCCGCTCTTGCCACCTTGGCCAGACTATGCCTAAAGCTAAAGATGCAAACATTTAACTGGTGCTCAAGGCTTGTCTCTCAAATGTTGCTATCATCTAGCTGCCCTTTGAGGATTCGAACATCCTCGCATAGGTTTACGATCTTATTTTTCAGCGAGGTGATTTGAGGATTTTTGGGAGGTGCAGGCTCTTCATCCTCCTCAAAGATTTTAAGATAGGTGGCTTAGTGGTTCTCTTAAACCTAAGGGGTTGAGATGAGGAGCCGGCTGTATCTTTCGAGACGGATTTTTGGATGGGGGTTGCCAGCCCCTTGCCTCTCCTTGGTTTGCGCATCAGCCCCTTTCCACACCCGCCATCAGGCTTTTGAACCCCTACTATAGTGTAGCTATAGCTATAAATGGTGTTGCCGAAGGCGTTACACGGATGCTTTTTGTAGCACTTTCTGAAGTCTTGCGCTTGAGGCTATCGGCCTCCGAAGTCGACCTTGATGGGGGCACCTACCTAGGCTGGGCGCCAGCCTGCCCATGTCATTTACCGTCTTCTGTAGGATATTTTTGATTTGTTTATTTGAAGTTTCTGCTTGGCCACTGGTCTATGGGTGGTATGGGGTAGCCACGTTGTGCTTGGCTCCAAATTCCCTTAAGAAGGCTTTGAAGGTCTTGTCGATGAAGTGGGACCCCATCGCTTATTACCATTCTCGGTGTTCCAAAGCGAGGGATGATCACTTCATGAAACATTCTCCTGGCACTCTTGGCGTCGACAGCTCTGCATGGCAAAGCTTCCACCTATTTTGATACATAGTCGATGGTGACGAGGATGTACTTGCAATCTCAGGACTTTTGGAATGGCCCCCATGAAGTCAGTGCCCCACACATCAAATATTTCTATTTAAAGGTTGTAGTTGAGGGGCATTGTATTGCGAGACGTGATGCCACCTTGCAACTGGCATTTCTGACACCTTCGGATGAATTCTTACATCATTGGCCAGAAGAATCCACACTGCTAGATTTTGGTTTGTGTGTGGAATGCTCCATAGTGGCCTCCGTACGAAGCTGCATGGCATTTTTTGATGATTTGTATCCCTTCTGCCGCAGGCACACACCTTCTTAATAGGCCATCAGCACATATCCGGTAGAGGTATAGGTCATCCCAAAGGTGACATCTGCTTTTAGTTTGTAGCTTCTTCCTATTCTCGCCTGGTGGTACGTACCCTAAAATCATGAAATTGACAATGTTCGTGTACCACGAGTTTGAATCCGTCACCCTTAGTAGCATGTCGTCACGTAGGAAGTCATTGATTGGTAGTTCCTGCATGTTAGTGGCTGGCACACACGACACATGATCTGCAACAATATTCTCTACTCCCTTTTTATCTTTTATTTCTAGGTCAAATTCTTGGAGTAGAACAATCCATCTTATGAGGCATGATTTTGCATCTTTCTTAGTGAGCAAATATTTCAGGGCAGCATGATCGGTGTAAACAATTATTTTTGCTCCCACTAAGTAAGATCTAAATTTATCAATAGTAAAAACAGCTGCAAGAAGTTCTTTTTCTGTGGTTTCATAATTAAGTTGTGCTCCTGTCAGTGTTTTGCTAGCATAGGCAATTGCATGATGCTTTTTATCTTTGGTTTGGCCAAGGACCGCACCAACGGCATAATCACTAGCATCACACATTATTTCAAATGGCAGCGACCAATCGGGTGGTTGGATGGTTGGTGCTGAGATGAGTGCTTTCTTGAGTATTTGGAAGGCATTTAAGCACTCATCAGTTAACTCAAAAGGTACATCCTTAGCTAGCAGGTTGGTCAATGGCCTATAGATTTGCGAGAAGTCTTTCATAAATCGTCTGTAAAAACCTACGTGTCCTAAAAAGTTGTGGATTCATTTTATGTTCACAGGGGGTGGTAGTTGTTCTATAACTTTAATTTTTGCTTTGTCAACTTCAATCCCCCTCTGAGACACTAGGTGTCCAAGAACAATGTCCTCTCGAACCATAAAATGACATTTTCCCAATTAAGCACTAAATCCTTTTCCTGGCATCGTTGTAAGACTTTGTCTAAATTTTCTAGACAATGATCAAAAGTTTTTCCATAGACTGAAAAATCATCCATGAAGACTTCCATAATTTCTTCTATCATGTCAGAGAAAATTGACATCATGCACCTTTGG